AGTGACAAGAGAAGTTGAAGGTGGGAGAAGATGGAGGAGGGATCGATGATGGATAAGGGTGAAGGAGATTAATGATGACTAGGGTAAAAGTGTTTATTTTAAATTGATTCCATCATGCTTTAGATGAAATTAGATTTTAGCTATTTTGTTAGAATTGAGATTCTAAAGAATTTCAAATTTATAATACCAAACAAACTTACATCATGAATTTGTTTTAATTTCATTTCCATATTGAGAATTTCTTTATATCAAACTGAGCCTTATTCTTAATACTTGCATTATTATAACTTAGATGTGTTTGGGTTTAGCTCTAGCCCTTACACCATTTATATTTTTGTTGACGTAGCTTTGTACTCACTCTTGCTCTTTTAATGTAACTTGATTTCTTAGTGAACTAAGCCCCATTTAGTGGTTTAGTCTCAGTAATTCAAGAGAATTGATATTAAGGATATTAGAATCCACACAACATCTTGATTGAGGCGTTTGGCATATCTGTGCACGTGGAATGCTACTCGCAATTCACTCATACAAGTACTTTTCTGAAAAACATTTAATATTATTTCTTATAAATATATCGGAGGTAATAATAAGTTAAGGAAGTGTTTGGGGAGGAAAAATAACAAATAATAATTGCATAAGAAATTATAGAAATTTTAATTAAAGACTATGACGTTTAAATGTTATTAAAAAAATTTCTTTTTACCAAAATTAAATGCTCTTGCCATTGATTTGTCAAGGAGAGGGTGTCTTATTTACCTCTATTCTCCACTTCTCTCATTTTCTTCTCATCATTATTCTATCAAAGTTTTAATAGTTCTGATATAATATTTAATAAAGTTATCATTTTAATCTTATATAAAGATAAAGAAATAAATTTTAAACTATTAAAATTTGATCTAAATAATTTAAAACTGTAATATTTTATATAAACTAATAATAATTTTATCAAAAAATAATCTCAATGATTCTATTATTAGTGATAAAAAGAGAAAAAGGAAATGGAGGGGAAAAAAAGGGATGTACCATTCTTCCGATTTGTCAATGGGTTTTTGATGGTTTGGCCAACAAAAAAAACTTTTTTTTATGGCTCCAAAGAGACTATTTTTAATAAATAGGAATTTGTTAAGTTATAATTAAGGACAGTGATTTTTAATTAAAACTGTAATAATTTGAAGTGTTAAATTGTGGAGTAGAACTCTTATTCTATTAATCATCTTCCCTTTAATAAATGCGAGAGAAGGCATTGTGGCTCTCGAAGCAAGGCTTATCGCTACACAAACCTTTGATGTGCTAACCGACAAATATAAATGAGGACACTGTTCTTTAATTCTTTGGACCACTTCACCCTCCTCTCGTAGCCCCACGTGATTCATGCTTCTCATTATTTTATTTTATCTTCCATTCTCTTTCCTCACTTGGATGATGTTTTTGTTTTTTCCTTGGAAAGTTTGAGCGGCTGACCCAACAAGTAGAGATCAAATAAAAATCTATTTTAAAAATAGTTTTTTATTTTTCAAAATATGAGAATAAAAAAAATTATTTGATAATGTGATTTTAAAAAGTATTTTAACAAATAAAAAAATATTATTCTGAAGAATAGAAAAATAAAAATAATTTTTAGGTGTTATGTGATTATTGTTCTGAAAAACAAGAAAGAATAAGAAAAAATTTATTTTTATTTTTTTTATTTTCAGAACATGTTTTATAAAATATCAATTCTTAAAATAATAAAATAAAAATAGTTTCAAACAGCCTCATAATCTCTCATTTTAATTTTATTTATAAGTCACTTCTAACATGTTTTTACCTGTATAAAAAAAAACTTTAAAATTCATTACTCTATCTTAAAATTTAATAAGTTTTTAACTTTGTCTCTATTAAATACACAAAATTCATTAATATATTTTCTCTCTCTAACATTAAACAAAGGATTAAAAAAATTATAATAAAAATTAATAACATAATTTATAAATAAGATCAAAAAAATTCTTCTCTTTCTACCTTATAAATAGCACTAGAGAGAGTACATGGGAATTGACTAGAGTGGATAATTATTTTAATATTATCTTTTATTATTTCACTTCTTAAATATGTTTTCTTCTCACTCTTTTATTAATGAAAGGTATTTTTTAAAGTTTATAAAAAACTTAATATTATAAATTATATTTGATGAATTTCATTGAGATATACTCCCTCCATTTAAAAATATAAAATATTTTTTAAAGAGTTTGATATTAAAAAATATAAAATATTTTTAATTTTTTGAGGTATAATCATTATTTTTTTTTAAAATATCCCTATCGATAAGTGACTTTAATTATTATAGGATGTTTAATAAGGGTAACCATGAAAGGTAGGGTTAGTTTTGAAAGTAGACAATTACTTTATTGAGAGATGAGATTCGGTTAAAAATAACTTACATTTTTAAATGGAGGGAGTATAAATTAGTTTTAAAAAAATTTTATAAATTGAAATAGAAAGAGTATTAACTCATGATTTTAAATTAGGCTCCTGAATTTTTCAAAAGATGGATGTCATTCATTCATAAAAATCAAAAACTTGTTATTTTCATGGAAAAGTAAGGAGTTCTAGGCCTCTTCTCAATTTCAATGAAGATATTAAGAGTGTCTTATACAAAATAGTAGAAAGTAGAGTAATTAAAAAAAAAACAAATTACACACACACGACTCTTGATATTTTATCTTAAAAATGTTATAAACAATGCCATATTACTCTCCATTCCTACTTATAAGACCTAAATTTTAGATCAGTTGTGGTGTCTCTGACCAAGTCTCACAATTAGAGATAGAAGGGGTATTACAAAATGATAACACAAATCTTAATTTCTGTACGCTTAAAATTGTTTTCTCATTGCATTCAGATATACTATATACAAATAAGGTAGATGATGCCAGTCTAAATTTCCCAACACTTTGTTTAACAAGTTAAAAAAAAAAAAAATTATGCCCTCTCAAGCAAGGATTTCAAGTTTGAGTCATAAGAATACAATAGTAACATATTGATAATATAAAATCTCCACTCAAAAGAATCACATCTTGACTCAATTTGAATTAATCTATCTCCTATTAAAATCCTTTCGACTCGAGTTGAGGCAAGTCTGAAAGAATTAAGGTTGGGTGCTCTTAAAAAAAAAAAAAAAAAAAACACGCAGGGAATAGAGGAGGATACTGGCCGAGAAAAAGAGAATGCTGCAGTCCTCGTCCTTGATATTTTTGGCTTGAACGTGGTAGCAACACAGGATTGGTTCGAGTGAGTCACTGCGGACACTTGTCAAATGGCTATTTGTTAGCTAATTTGGCACAAACAACGTGTTGCCTGAATAAGATTACTTTTTAAAAAAACTGTTTAAGATCAGAGTCTCTACTCTCCACTCTCCATTCCCATCATGAACGTTTCCTACGTGCATTTCATTGACTTACATGTTGCATAATCTACTCTTTATATAGGCAGAGTATATAAATAATATTTTGATTTGATATGTTTAATTTATATTCAGCTCAACTTATTTCACATTATTTGTCCTATTATTTTTTAAATTATCTTTAATAACATATTATCCATAATTTTTGAAAACTCTATACGAATTATACAGGTCCACATCCAGTTAGAATAATATAAATATAAATGATATAAATATCTGTGTTCTATATTTCTACATAAAATCTTATAAGCTGGATAATAAAATCACTGGACCATATTTTGTTGTCATTTATTTGATTCTGGCGTTCTCTTTTATTGGATTGTTAGCTTACTTTCGCAACATCTGATGGTCGTTTAGGAGGAAAAAATGAAGAGTTTTATTCCTTTTAAAATACTAAAATATTTTTGTCCTTCTTTTGGCATCATCAGAGCGCATAATTATTTGTGTTTGTCGTTTTGTTTGTATAACTCAATCAATCAAGTTAATTTGCAATGAAAGAATTCTTCATTAAAAAAAAAAGATTACCTTATTGTTTTTTTTTCTCTCCAAATAATATGATTGATTTTGCATGGTTCGATTGAAATTAAACTAATCAATATATTATATTTAGAATTTAAAATTTGCATACATTGTCTGTCATTTGAAATTAAAATCAAGAAGAATGTATGAAATGTTTGATCATTTGTATTATTATATTTAGACATCTTAAATTTATTAGATTACAGTCCATGGACCACTAGTAATACATTACCAAATTCTCACACTTCTTGAGCTAGGTTTAGATACCTTAATTAAATTTATAATGAATCAACGTGCAAACCAAATAAAAAAAAAAATCTAACCCTCAAACATTGGGTGAGACATTTTTTATTGAAAATTTTATGGAGTAATGATATGATTAAGTTTTCATTAAAATTTTTTTGGTAGAGTAAGGTTATGATTTAGTTAAAATTAAGGGAGACACACATCGACGCACGCACACAAATAAGTTGACATAGAGCATGAAAATGTTCTTCTCAAATGAGGCAAGTAACGATATCATTAGGACAATTAAACTTACAATGGTGGTGAGAAGCTTATTAATTTGCGCTTGGCTATAAATTTTAAAATTATAACCAAGTGTTAAAAAATCATCTCTCAATCTAATCTTAACATTGACAATTTATATTCAAAGTTAGTACTGAATTGTCAAAGGCAAGTCCTTTTTTTTTTTGGCCAACATTAAAGGCAAGTCTTATTATGTCTTCTTCTAATTACTGCAAAAGATTTAATAATCAAGTTTAATTTTTTTTTAATTAGATAAGCTTATCAAATCAAACTACTCCTAATTAAGAAATAAGAGTGTGTGGTATTCGTCTCGCACATGACTAGAGTCACAAGAGTGACGCCTGCGTTTCCAAGTTTCCACGGCTTCCTCTGCCAACACAACGAGACTTGTTTGCTGTTTGGCTGTAACAATAACAGTCTCACCTTTTTCCCTTTGGGGAGCAGCGAAATTGAAGAACTAGGAACTACGGAGAACAAGAGAGTGGTAGAGAGAGAGAAAAGGAATAATTCGTGTTCTTGTTGATTTTCGAAGCTACCCCATTTGGAAACCCTGATATTTTCCGGGGTTTAAAGATGAAGCTTAGGAGGTCATTGCTGAGGCTTTTTCTAGGGTTTCTGTTACTGTCCTTCTTCCCATCGTCAATGGCAAGATTCGTTGTGGAGAAGAACAGCTTGAGGGTGACCTCGCCGGACAAAATCAAAGGTACATATGACAGTGCGATCGGGAACTTCGGGATTCCTCAGTATGGAGGTAGCATGGCTGGGACTGTTGTTTACCCTAAGGATAACCAGAAGGCTTGTAAAGAATTCGATGACTTTGGGCTTTCATTTAAATCGAAACCTGGAGCTCTTCCCACAATCCTTTTACTCGATCGTGGAAGTAAGTACTTGATGAATTTGCATTCTGTTGAGGATTGAGATTAAATTAATCCTTTTGCTTTTTGGGTTTTATCGATAGTAGTTATGAGTTTTGTAGCTCGGCTCGCTTTTTCAGATGCTCCCTTCTCACTAAATTGATTATTATGTTTGTTAATATGCAAAATTTAGTTTGTTTGTCAGGGGTAGTTCTCTTGGTTTGCTTTTAATAGTTCATGTTGCATTTATGCTATATAGGATTACGTTGGTTGTATTTTTTTCCGTGCCCGGGTAGTTTTGTTTGTTTGTTTTTGTTTTGTTTTGTTCAGACAAGATTTTGTTCACTAAACAATTTTACTTTAATGTAGTTGCATTAACTCGTTGGATGCTCTATTGTTTAATTGAACCCAAAAGATTAAAATAAAAAAAACATTTTGGGGCTCTTTTGAGTTCATTTGGAGTGAGTGATTTGGTGCGTAAAGGCATGCCTTCAGAATTTAGATTTTATATGATAATTGAACGCCTAAAATTTCGGATCTGTTATTTGCTTTTTTTTAAAAAAAATTAATATAATTAGTATGACTAATTTTATTGATTGTACTCTAATTAGTCGGTCATGAGTTGTTCTATTTGGTTCTAATTATCTTTTTCCTGTCAAAGTCTTGAGTAGCACGCTGTACAGTCATTAAATCTTAAAGCGTTCTTTTGCGGGTGTATTAATAGTGATTTTATGTGTTCCTTTCAGATTGCTTCTTTGCTCTGAAAGTCTGGAATGCTCAGAAGGCAGGAGCTTCTGCAGTTCTTGTTGCGGATGATGTTGAGGAACCCTTTTAATAACTATGGACACACCGAAGAGGATGTGTCATCTGCAAATACATAGAGAACATAACAATACCCTCTGCTCTCATTGAAAAAAGTTTTGGTGAAAGACTAAAGAAAGCCATAAGTAGTGGAGAGATGGTTAATGTGAATCTTGATTGGAGAGAGGCTGTACCCCATCCAGATGATCGTGTGGAATATGAACTGTGGACCAACAGCAATGATGAGTGCGGGGTTAAATGTGATATGTTGATGGAATTTGTTAAGGATTTCAAGGGTGCAGCACAGATACTAGAGAAGGGTGGTTACACTCAGTTTACACCGCATTATATAACTTGGTACTGTCCCAGGCATTCACTTTAGTAAGCAGTGCAAGTCCCAGTGCATAAATCATGGAAGATATTGTGCCCCTGATCCAGAGCAGGACTTCAGCACGGGTTATGATGGGAAAGATGTGGTTATTGAGAATTTAAGGAAGTTATGTGTCTTCAAAGTGGCAAATGAATCCAAAAAGCCTTGGGTTTGGTGGGACTATGTGACTGATTTCAAA